GAAATTCGGTCAGGACACCAACTAGTTCAGTCTTCACAGACAGTGTGACCCTTTCTTTAGAAAGAACTATTTTTTCACTAATGTCGATTAATGGAGTATTAAAGGGTTTAAGATCCTCCTGCTTGAGTTTGAGCTTCTTGAGGAGGTCCATGTACATAATTTTAGAGGAACTCCCTGGATCAATTAGAAGCCTCTTTACATCGTAATTTGTAATCCGAAGTGTTACAACTAATGTATCATTGTGTGGCTGATGAACCCCGATCAAGTCCTACTCAGTGAAGCAGATGGCCTCAGTTGACTCTTCCACCTTGATCCTTTTACTCTTAACCTCTGGGGTTAGTCGCAGCTAATAGACTTCTCTTTCTTTAGCAGCTTTCTAAATATATGCCCTAGCAATGTTGTTTGTCGACATCTGCGGATTCGTTGCAGCGTGGATCACATTTATCACCCCTGCTACTGTGGTCTGGTCCCCTTTTGGCTTGATCCTTGCTTAGTCGGTTCTTGCACTGTCCTCGATGAACTAGGCGAGGTGTCCAGCCTGGATCAGTTCCTCCAAATGTTGCTTCAAAGATTGGTAATTTTTGGTCATATGACCTATATCCCGATGAAATGAGCACCTGAAATTAGGATTCCTTTTCGAAGGATCCCCTGTTAGCTTATTGGGCTACTTAAAAAATGAATTTTCCTTGATTTGAGTCAATATTTTATATATTGGTTCTTTGAATAGTGTATTTACCCCAATAAAGGGAGACTTCTAGGGAAGTTCCTCCATTTTTGCTCGGTTCAGTTTGCTTATCTCAGTCGAACTGCCTTCTGCTTTGATGATCCTTAACCACATCTTTGGGTAAGTTGTCATCGACTTTAGCATACTTCTCGATTCTTGCCATTAGTTCTTCCAGGTCGGTGGTTGGCCTCTTGGTGAGTGATTGGTATAAAGGGTTCTCCTTTAGCAACCTGATTTTGAAGGATGCAATTGTAATTTCGGGATTACAGCCTTTGACTTCATTAATCGTCTCTCAGTAGCGATGAGCGTATTCTCGCAAAGTTTCATAACTTCGTTTCTTCAGTGTTAGTAGAGCCCCAACATTCTTTGGCTGCTTACTGCTCGTAATAAATCGAGCTGTGAACTACTCGACCAATTGTGACTATCCGTTTATAGATTCCTTCGGCAAGTTGTCGAACCACTTCATGGACGACTCCCCGAGGCTGCTAGGGAAGATGGTGCAAAGCAGGGGTTCATTCCTTCGATGAATGGTCATCAATTGTTTGTAATGTCTGATGTGGGAGGCTGAGTTAGTCTTTCCATCGTAAAACTTAAAGTGCAGGATGGTGAATTTACTCGGGATTCGCCCCCTTTCAATCCACAAAGTGAAAGGAGATGACTTTGAGTCGTCTCCGTATTCTCCTGTTGCTCTTCTAGCTAGGTCTCTAGCCGATCTCTACTTTGGCCTCTTTAAATGGTTGTTGAGTTCTTCGGTAATAAATTGCTTCCATGAGTCCTCCTCCTGGACCCGAGGTCTTTTATGTTGGTACTTATCATCATCCATTTTTTTGGTTTTGTCATGTTTCTTTCTGGGATTTTCTTGCCAGGTTTCCCTTTCACGCTTCTCCTTCCTAGTCATCTTCGTCAACCTAGCTTTGAGTTCCTCTTTCTCTTTTATTAGATCTTTTTCCCTGGCATAGGATTTCTTGAATAACTTGTCATGTGCATCTAGTCGGTCTTGTAGGGATTGGACCAACTTTGCTAAGGAGTGATTCTCCCCCTCGGCACAGAGGGATTCACCACGATCTTCAACTTGCTGGTTCTGGTTCATAGATGGTTTGAAACTTACTAAAGATACTTTGCCATCCCTCGTGGGGTCCAGATGGGCTTTTATTTACATGCAATCAGATGGGCTTTTATTTACATGCAACTTAACGTTGTTATCAGACGGAAGTGACAATGGATTAGAATTCCCTAAGGCAAAACTATCTATTGGTGATCCAATGGTACTTCTGAGTCTTGACATCGTAGCTTTTTGTTTCGATGGATAAAAATCTTCCTACAAACGACACAAAAAATGTAAGAGGTAAAAGGTGAAATTACCCCTCACTGGAATAAGATTTGATATTTCTGGTAAAGAGGGTTTCTCAACTTGATCTCCTAGTCGTTTCTTCTTGCAAAATGAGCAAACTGTCCAAGATCGAAGTGCTTCGATTAAAGACACTCTGATACTTAAGTCAGTAATGAAACTGATTAAAATGCCAATAGACATGGAGAGTTCAACCTATCTTTCACATTTGCTTCTTGTGCCTTTTATAAATCCCTGTTCAGTTAGGGTTTCCTTGATTTCTGATTCAAGGTGACACACCTTCTTTCAATTCAACGATTCTGTTTGGGAAGTTGCTGAAATCTCTCTAGTAATCCCCTTAGCCTGGCCTACAATTAAGCCTATTAGCTTATCTAGGATGCCAGAGTTATAGGCAAAACTTTTGCTCTTCGTTTGACTGTTTCAAACAACTTGGTTGCAATGAGGACCAACCTCTTCGCTTTCTCACCGAACTCATCGAACAGCTCAACCCTTTCTCATCGAACTCATTGAATAGCTTGGCCTGGTCTATTTGTCTGAGTGATTGATGTCTTCCTTACGTGCCTTGTCTGGTCACTCATGTGAGCTCATTTAATATTGTAATACGTGTAATAAAGGGAGCCACCCCCTTCAATATATATATATACTAGGGATAATTTGTGTCTAAAATCATGGTATAATATGAATAGTTTTGAGAAGAATTGTTAATGACCGTTGGATGAGTTTATTTGGGACCGTCAAATGAACTTATAAAAATATATTATGTTTTATATTATAAACATATAAAAGATTATGATTATTCACTGCCTTGTTAACAAATAATTCATAATGTGAAGCCATTTGATATAATATCCAAAATATTATAGATAGTTTTTATAGAAGTTTTTTTTGTTTAACGGTTAAGGGTGTCTGGATCAATTTATGCACATTTTGACTAATCTCATTTCTAGTTCGGTCAAAACCAGACCATTTGTGCTAGGACTAGGGCATTCACGAAGAATTTATCTCTCATGACCTAATCTCAAGAAATTATCAAGATTTAAATTTAAGACGTCTGAATTTACAGTTTACCTCTATTACCACTTGAACTACCCTTGCTATTAGTTTTTATAGAAGTTTTTAAGCAAGAAAAGAGTGAAAAGCAAAAATATTAAAAATTTAGGGGTCATTTGGTAATATTTTTATTGTTGCATTTTCAAAAAATTTAAAAATAGAGACAATGTTTTTTTTTACTTTGTGGTAAATACCAAAAATATAAAACATATTTGAAAGTCATTTATATTTATCAAATTATGAGAATAAAAACTAAAAATAAGTTTAGTAACCACGCAAGTTATATCCTAAACATACAAATCATAACTAAGAAAAGTTCTAATCAACATTTATGTCATTCCATAACATATAACCATTCACTAATGCAGTAGTTCTAACACACTCAATAATTGGGAGTAACATATGCACTCATGAAATTCTCTAAACATATATTACACTCATGAATTTCAATATATCTACAAATTTACCCACAATATGTTCAACATATACATAAATTCACCACAATATATTCACATATATTCAACATATCCACAAATTCACCCACAATATACACTTAGATAGACTTTGCTGACTCACACACACACAGAATCAACACACATAGACGAGGACAGAAAATAATTTGTTTAGTGGAAATCGAGTCACAATCAACACCCACACACAAATATTACACCCAAACCCAGAAATCTAGAAATCACGATCAACACCAACTCACGCCAAACCCAGAAAATCAACATCCACACACAAATCTAACTCAGACGAAGGTGAGAAAGAGGCTGTTATGGAGAGGGGTGGCGATGGAGAGAGGTAGTGATGAAATTGAGCCATGATTGAACAAAGTTGTGAGGAGCACGATCGAACAAAGCTGTGAGTGACAATCGCTAGAGAAAAGGCAATCGCTGAAGAAGAGATGATCGCCGATGGAGGCTTCGTTGAATGGATAGAGACGATGGAGATAGGAGAGATAGAGATGCGATGGACAACAAGAGTATGAGTTTAAGTAGTTGGCCAAAAAAATGACTTTTTGTTGCTAACAAAGCTCGAAGCTTGTATCTCATTCATTCCCCTAAGCCCCCCGCGTGCGTGTTTCTGTTTCTCTTGTTTCTTGGAACATCTTTTTTTTTGTTTCTTATTTTTGGTTCTTGTTCTCAAAGCAATTTATCTTATATATATAAAAAAAAACACAAACTCAAACGTGCTTTTGTTTTTATTTTTAGTAAAAAGTGAAAAAAAAAAAACACGAAACAAAAACATCAACCAAACGCAAGCTTAGTTTTTAGTATTCAACTATTCCGAATAATTTAAGAATTGTAGAATTGTCGCCAATGATCAAGTTTGTCCTCTTATAAAGAGGTCTCAAGTTTGACACTTCTCATATTCCCTAAAAATTAGTCACTCTTATTTTTTAGGAGATATAATTTTAAATTAATTGGAGCTACGATAATTGATTTTTGAGTTCTAGAAAATAGTTAGCGCAAACCTATACACCTTGTAGTAAAAAATAATTTAAGAATTACCAAAATATTGAAATTATTAATTATATTCAGGAAATATTAATAATAAATTAATTTTTTTAACCATTTGTGTTATAATAAAATTTCGGGTACATTCTATATTGTTCTAATTTTTTATGAATTGTGAACCAGAGTGACAAAATTTTCTTTTTAAATCATTCCCCGCCTTTAGTTTCAAAAGGGCCCCACAACGTCATCCCCTCACGTGATTCAACCCGCGCCACCACTATGCTGACACCACCAGGTCAAGCACCCGCCAATCCGAATCCAATCATCACGGACTTATCCTACGTGTCTTCCTCGAAAACATAAACATATTAAAAAAATAAAAACAAAATTACTAGCCATTAAAATCTCAGCCGCGCCTCCCACATTCTCTCCCTCTCTTCCTCAGAGCACCAGAGACACAGACGAAGTCCAAACTTTTCCCCAATTATCTTCACCAATCCAAAACCCTAAACCCAATACCAGAAATTGAGAAAAATTCCACAGACCATGATCAATATTAAACACACCGAAACGACGTCGTCTTCTTCAATCGTCACGGCGGAGAAGGCAATCTCATTCATTTCAAAGGGCTGGCGGGATGTCCGGTCATCGGCCGACGCCGATCTCCGATTGATGAAAGACCGTGCCAAGTCGTTCAAGAACTTAGCCTCCTCCTTTGATAAAGAGCTCGAGAACTTTCTAAATTCAGCTTCTAAATCCCCTTTCACGGTCCCCACAATTACCGCCTCTACCACTCCCGCCGAAATCGACTTCGTCAAGAGGCTACAGCCGAAATTGAACGAAATTCGGAAGACTTATTCGTCACCGGATTTTAGTAAACGAGTTTTGGAGAAGTGGAGCCCTCGGCCGAGGATAAGGATCGATTTGAGTGCGATTAAGAATGCAATAGTGTCCGAAGTGGAGGTGTTTGATGAGAGAGAAGGATTTAGGAGGGCGAGAGCGAGGAGGATAAGGTTTAAGGAGGGGAGAGAGGAAGGGCAGTTTGGGGAATGGGAACTGATAAAGGTCTTGAAGACTAGGTTGAGGGAGTTGGAGCAAAAGAGCTCGTCGGCTGAGATATTTGGGGGTTTTAAGAACAGTGAGTTCGTGGAGAAAGTGAAGTCCAGTTTGGTATGAAATTCGAATTTCATGTGTTGTTTAATTGTTTTGAATTTTTTATATACAGTAGGATAACTCAATAATAAATTGGTTGAATTTTATTTTTGGATTTTTCATAAATTTTCATATAGGATCCATGCATTTTGTATTTGGCTTGATTCTAGGTGATAACTGGGTGGTCAAAAGGGGTGGATTCAATTATGTGTGAAGATTTTAATTTAATTTTAGGTTTGGTTTTAAATTTTGAAAGGGTTCATGTAACTTCTATGTCTTAGGCAGCAATTTGGAATATGTTTTTTTTTAATGTGTTGCGCAATTGAACCTTGGAAAAGGTCAACAAGGAGTGTGTAAAGGTGAAAATATTTTCTTGTAGTTGATACCCGGCGGTGGACAGAAGATTGAAGAATGGAAATCATTTTATAAGAATTTGTAGTTTTGATTTTCTTGTTATATGGTCATTCTAAAATGAATATATTTCTATGTGTACCGACATATACGTGTGTATGTTTCACTTTGCTAATTCCTCTTTCTATTGAGTATAGCATGCCCACATTTGAAAATTATGATTCTTGCAATTCAATAACGATGACTAGAGGTTATCCTTGAGGAAGTTACAGCGTTAACCTATTGGTTCAATATCTATAATGGAAATCTCAAAAATTCTTTTGGGCCTTCAAACTTCTGTTATAATCTCATGAAACTACGAAAGCTATTATAGAAGGGCTTTTAAGTTAGCAAGTGTTTTCTAAGAATGGGTTTTGAAGTTTGTACTTCTTTGTGTTGTTTAAATAAAGCCAGACAATACTGATAATGACTCAAGCACTTTTAGTAACAAAATACATAGGTCTCTTCCCCCGATCAACTTTTCTGTGTGCTTTTTGGTTACATCAAGTTCCGGAAAGTATGAATTCAGAGATACAGGACAAGAATTATTGTAAATAAATGAAATAGTTTAAACAGGTAAAATGGATCTTCCCCAAACTTTGGAATGGCCCAAAACAAGAAAATTATATACTAGGTTGGAACAATTAACCAAAATTCATGGGAGAAGAGTGGAATATTCTAGGTTGGAAGGAAAACTATATTCCTGCAAATGACCAATCTGAGAGATTATTTATTTGATTTGTAGTTCCTATAGTTCATTTGAAGTGTATTTTGGCTTGTGTTCAATTGCTAGTTGGAACAATTAGATTTACTACCTTGTCCTGGTTTATGTTTTGAGGCTGGATATTCTATATGGAGGCACACACACACGCACATTATGAAGATGTTTTATGAAGGAACTAGTTATGGCTGAAGGCAACATGTTCCTATTAGATATAATTGCCTTAAACATGCAATGAGCATTAGAATTGTGGCTGCTTTCACAATTGTTTTGTTCCATACCACTATATGAAGTAACATACATGAGTAAAATTTGACTTTGTTTGAAGATGCAATAGTTCTGTGTGCATTTGCCATACGACTTCAAATATTCTAGGCATCTTATCAATCATTGTATTTCATGTCTGTCTCCTGCACATACTGATATTGATGCAGATAAACTTGCTTTTTTATTTGTTTAACCTTTAGAAGATAAGTTAGACTATATGACTAATATTTATTTGCTTATGGTTTTTGCAGAAATCAATTTGCAAGGATCCAAGTGAGTCAAAGGTTGGTGTTTAACCTATACAATTGCACTGAGTGTTATTCTCTAACATGCTCATGTGTTTTCCCACATCCCTTTTTTGGTGGCTGAAGATACTTAAGGAAAGAAAATGGAAATAAAATCATGAAACCAATTTACTGTCTTTTGCTTCCAGAATAATGAAAAAATCATCTCACTAAAGGCACATAATTGTATTATGCATTGATGTGTTGTTTTCTCGAACATTGATAATAAATGTTTTATAGTTCATATAAATTCCACCCTTTTCTTACATTTTCAAGCAGCAAAAGTGTTAGTGTTTCCTCTTGTTGCATGTACCTTAGTAAATGGGGTTTCTACCTTCTTTTATACTAGAAATGCACAATATGCATTGCACGTGAATATATTTAATAATATTTTTTTATAAAAAAAAATTAAATTAAAATTTTAATTTATTTGAATAATAAATTATGTATCGAATAATTACATCTTATATTAATTATTGTTAAACCTAATTATTGATCTACTCTACTTCTCTTTTGAGTACTTAATTTGTCATTTTTTTGGCATCTTTCCGATTTCTTAAACATTTTCTCTTTTCTTTATAGGGAAGGTTTATTGTAAAATTATCATTCTTGAGTATTTGTACATCTAAATATATTATTATATTCTATTATTAAAGAGATTGATAAATTGTAAACTATTGTTTGTATCATAATATTATGATATTGTTGCATATAAAAAAATTAAATGTGACATATATTTGACAATAAAATTTAATTTGCCAACAACATGTATACAATAGTAGAATATAGATTGGATTTTATTTTTTTATATAAATAGATATAGATATATAACTTGTATTTAAGTGTACTACCAATGAATGAGTTCAAAAAAATTTAGAAGTCAAATACTATTGATAAAAGAGTCTCAAAGAATTTCGAAGTCTAATAGCTATTGAAAACATTAAAAATTGAATGAAAGCAAATATGAGAGTATAATTGACTTTATTATAATAATTAAGGATAAAATAGGAAATTAAAAGTTTTTCACATATACTGACATTTATAAGTAGTATAGATTTAAGGATGGTTCTAGTTGCTATGTGCATAGTGTGGCCCAAATTTTGTCCACTTTATATGGTACCATTTGTAATGTGTGTCTTGTAAAACATGAAAGCCATAATCTTTAAATATGAATGGTATTTGTCAACAAAATTGAAGAAATGCAGACATCATTGTTAATAGTTGAATGGTTTGTTGGTTCGATTTTAAGTGGAGGCTTGGGGGCCGCCGGGCAATTGGAGCCCTTTCAATTGTAGGTGGTGTTACAGATAAACAAAGTACTTACACCGCTTTTTCTATTCGAGCGAAAGAAAAGAGAACCACAATGGAATTGTGCCCTTACCTCTGTGTCGGAGTAGTTTTTGTCTTAGTGGGCTAGAGACACAGTTAGATCAAATTTTAGTAGCTGCTAAGACTCAAGGCAAGGGACAATTGCGAAACTTAACACAGTCAACAGTCTAGTCTGCTTGTTTACTCTGGATTGGATTATTTGTGGACATAATATTTGTTGGAAGATAGAAAGTAGATTTCCAATTGTAGCTTTGATGAAATTTATTGATAGTTTGTGCTATAGTTAAACACATCGTTTTGGCTGAACGTTTTTTGTTGCTTTCTTTCACATTGCACCATACAGGAAGTTCCACCACTGGATGTACCTGAACTTTTGGCATATTTTGTTAGGCAGTCCGGACCACTTTTGGATCAACTTGGCCTTAGAAGAGGTAAGTAATTCCTTTTGATATCTATTTTTAACCTCGTAAATGTATTGGTATGAGCACTATGCGGTTAAATTCTGCTACATTTGAAAGACTGCAGGGTGTTTTAGAGGAAGCCTCACTAGGTTAACTTAAAAGCAGTGTTCTGCAACTATGTGGCAGAACGAAAAATTCAGTTTCGACTTTATATAGTTCCTTTGTGCCACTTTTTGCTGTCCTTGATATTGAGTTCTTCCATTTCTCTTCACTTGATGAAAAGCCAATTTCGTTGGTCATGCTTGTGCATAATTACCTTGGACAGCGGCTACCATGTGGCAGAGAAAGCGTGAATTTTTTAGTTTTGATTCAGCGTCACTGTCATAGGGAAATCCCAGAATATTGACTCTCCCTCTCTCTCTCATGGAGTCGCTATTGATTGGCTGAACTATTTTCACTGCCCTCCTTTAGAATCAGGCTTCAAAATTTTCAGACTTCCATTTATGGCCTTGGAGCTAAGGATCTGAAGAAGGTTTGATGGCTTACATCATGTGTTGGGGATGCAAAACTATCTGGTGGAGTGAAGTTGAATACTTACATCTTTTCTTGTTCTATCTGTAAATTTTCTAATCTCTCAGCACTTCCATCCTTTAGTTTGCATGACCTAATGAATACAACACATGCAACTTTGTTGCTACTGGGCCAGGGGTTGACATGCAGTACACGATATCCTCTGCTCCCCTGCTCTTGCAGAGCAAATTAAGAAGAAATTTTCCTTCATCAAATTCTCAATATTCAAAATCTCCTTTAGCAATGTGGTCCAACCAAAAAGCCACCTGAAATAGGACCTTTGCCTGCCTGCCTCCCTTTCCATGGGAAGCGGGGAGTACTATATCCCTAGCACTTTACAAAAACACTGATTTTAGAGTTCCCCAAAGGATTATAGCCATGAGGAGTCTGGCATGTGCTCCAAATGCAAAGTATTCAAAAAAACAAAAAAAAGCCTCCACCACCTTCAAAGAGCACTGTGCCTGTTTTATGAAATAGTCTCCTCTCCATACCCAATCTGACCTTTTTGTCCAGTTCTTGAAGAGATTCTCAAGAAAAATTGGCCTATTTCACTTGCTATTTTCTGTCCTTACATGAAGCAATTTAAGCTAAAATGTGTTATTGCTTTCTTTGTTTTATTGATTCAGTCAATACGACTCTCTCCTGGCTTTTGTTGTTTCAAATTGATGGCTAAATGATGGAGAACAGCTCATGGTTTTGATATATGTTGTTCATTGGGTTGATAATGTGATTTTTTTTTTGGTGATTTTGTTGATAATTTGTCTAATGTGGCAATCTTTATAATGAGCAAATACACGGGGTGGAAGCCAACACTAGAAAGTTCTTACCTTTCAAAACTGGCAGAAAAGGAATTAGCTCATTTTGCAGCTTGTGAAAAGTTAATACTACAATTATATCGAAACCTGCAAGTTTATCTTGGGTTGTCATTGGTTTAGTTACATTGCAATATGACGAACTCAAATGCCCAGTTAGAGCACTGCAATTGTAGAGGTTCAACAAGTTGATGGCAAATCAGTGTGTGGAGAATGAAATTCTGCATGGAAAGTATAAAACACATTTTGCCTGGTGTTTTGGGGTCCATATGCACCTGATGGAATGTCAACTCTGACCTGATAAGCCAAACTTTATTGGATTGCTTATTTTTTTATTTTTTATTTTTTCTTATTTCATAAATTCATAAATCTAATTACCACGTTCTGATATTTGGAGTGTTTGGATCTTTGTGGCAGATTTATCTGACAAGATAGTAGAAAACTTGTGCGGCAAAAGAAAGAACCAACTTCTATCACGTTCCCTACCTGCAGGAGAGTCATCCATTAGCCAAAGCGAAAATATTAGTGATGAACTAGATTTAAGGATAGCAAGTGTCTTTCAAAGTACAGGGCATTGTTATGAGGGTGGCTTTTGGACTGACTGTGCAAAGCATGACCTGTCAGACAGGGAGAGGCATGTAGCCATCGTGACAACAGCTAGTCTTCCTTGGATGACGGGAACTGCTGTAAATCCGCTGTTTCGAGCGGCATATTTAGCGAAGTCGGCAAAGCAAAATGTCACACTGTTGGTTCCGTGGCTTTGTAGATCGGACCAAGAGCTAGTTTATCCGAACAATCTCACTTTCGCCTCACCAGAAGAGCAGGAGGCTTACATACGGAATTGGCTCGAGGAAAGGGTTGGGTTTAAAGCTGATTTCAAAATCTCATTCTATCCAGGAAAGGTAGTTCTCTGATGTGTTAGTATATGCATAATCTTGTTAACATATTATAGGTTTTGTGGTCTTTGACATGTTTTTATTGTTTCAAGTTTCAAAGGGAAAGGCGAAGTATACTACCTGCTGGAGATACTTCTCAGTTTATTCCGTCGAAGGAGGCTGACATCGCTATCCTGGAAGAACCAGAACATCTGAACTGGTACCATCATGGTAAACGCTGGACTGATAAATTTAACCATGTTGTTGGTGTTGTTCACACAAATTACTTGGAATATATCAAGAGGGAGAAGAATGGTGCCCTCCAAGCTTTCTTTGTGAAGCACATAAACAATTTGGTTACAAGAGCACACTGCCACAAGGTATTGGTCTATCTTTTTGTATCCTCTGATGTGTTATGTCTTGAATTTCTCAGGGCTAGGGATATAGTTTGAACATTGTCTTCAAAACATCTCAAAAAATTTGTTTCCTATTCATAACCTGCTTGCTTATGGTTTATGGTTAGGTTCTTCGCCTATCTGCCGCTACCCAAGATTTGCCCAAGTCTGAAATTTGTAATGTTCATGGTGTGAATCCGAAGTTTCTGAAAATTGGGGAAAAAATGGCTGCAGAAAGGGAGCGTGGGAAGCAATCCTTTTCAAAAGGAGCATATTTCCTAGGCAAGATGGTTTGGGCAAAGGGTTACAGGGAGCTGATAGATTTGTTAGTGAAGCACAAAAAAGACCTTGACGGATTCAATTTGGATGTGTTTGGGAATGGAGAGGATGCTCATGAAGTTCAGAGCACAGCTAAAAGGTTGGATCTGAATCTCAACTTCATGAAAGGCAGAGACCATGCAGATGATATTCTTCATGGGTAAGGACTCTTCAAGGAAGTCTCTCATATTTGTTTGAAAGTACCATCCATGAATATAAATGGCTAAGATTTCAGCTCGAAAAAAAACTCAATCATGGCTTCTTGCTTATGATAATGTTTATGCTTGGGATTAACTTTCACATAAACAGATACTGCTTTTAGAGAAATTTGGCTCAAACATTCTTATTTTTATTATTGAAATGGTCATTTTTCCTTGCAGTTACAAAGTCTTCATAAATCCCAGTGTCAGTGATGTGCTCTGCACAGCCACAGCTGAGGCTCTTGCAATGGGGAAATTTGTTGTTTGCGCAGACCACCCATCAAATGAGTTCTTCAGGTCATTCCCCAATTGTTTGACTTACAAGACACCTGAAGACTTTGTTGCAAAAGTGAGAGAAGCAATGGCGAGTGAGCCTCAGCCTCTCACTCCTGAGCAAAGATATAACCTTTCATGGGAAGCTGCCACACAGAGATTCATTGAGCATTCTGAGCTTGACAGGATTTTAAATGGTGATGGAGGTGATTCACAACGGAGAAAAACAAAGGGGAACATCTCCAATTCAGTCTCGATGCCAAATTTATCCGAGATGGTTGATGGAGGGTTGGCATTTGCTCACTACTGTTTCACTGGCAATGAGTTCCTTAGATTGTGTACAGGGGCAGTACCTGGGACACGGTACTATAACCAACAGCATTGTAAAGATCTCCATCTTTTGCCTCCACAGGTAGAGAATCCAATTTATGGCTGGTAGTAGATAGATTACTAACATGTATATCATGTATTCCTTCCTGCATATTATATACGTGATATAACATGGAGCTTGTCGTGCTTGCTAGTGTAGAATCATTTTGTTGTTTTTAAGAAATTACCATATAACATATAGCGCTGTGTGTGTGTGTGTGTGCGCGTGTGTTAGGACCCACAACCAGAACAGCTATTGGCCCTTTCATTGTAGTTCTCATTCATTTGTCTATTTTTCTGTGTGATGTCAAGGTAAATGTTCGAAAATTATTTGTTTGATGTCAATATTACTGTGGAGGATAAGGTTGCGATATTAAATTATTTCGTAAATGATAAGTGAACGAGACTAGTCACTCACTCTTGTTGACCAGTCAATGATCCACAGCATGCCTTGAGCCATAGACTATGGGCCAGGTAGGCCTCTCCATTCCATAAGGCATAAGGGATACCATATACACAATTGACACATGGGGTAAAGTCACGAGCCACTATTTTTGGTTTGCTAAGCCAGAAGGGTCCTTTATGGCCCACCATCTTGGTCCAAGAAATAAGCTCATTGCCTGGCCCATTAGCTTGATAAAATTTAAAAAATAATAATTAAATGTCTTATTTGAATAAATAATAATAAAAATAAAAAAGGCTCATTGGAATTGGTCTTTATTTCTCTTATTTTTCGTGTATCTCAATAAAAAAAGTGAAAAGGTGAGCAATAGGATGGGAAACAAAAGAGATCGCTGAGTTACTCTATAGCAACCAATGTCTCTTGACCAATTAACGGTCCACATGCCATATCTACAGCTTCTTAATGGGTCGTTGACCAGGTAGGTCCGCTCCTTCCTATCTCAAACCCTTATTTAAAACACTCTTTCTTAGGCAACTCAACGAAGATTAATCTAAAATAAGGGATACACTTGCCTTTTAACCTAACTTATAGATGCCAACATATTATATTACTTCATGTGTTAAAGCTGAGAAATAATCCACGTATTTCCCAATCTTCACAATCAAATGATAACAAGACAAACTTCATATTCTACTTGAATCTAGTTTGGGTCACTCCCTTTAAGATTTGATGGGTGCATATTTTTTTGCACTTAGTTAATGAGGACGACAAGCACCATTTTTAGTGGAGCTTTGTTCATAGCAAACAGACATAATAAGATATTAAAATGTAAGTGTGCACAAGCACATTTTTCTTTCCAATATAAAAAGAGATAAAAAAAAAAAAACATAGAGGTTGATAATAATATAAATGATTTGCTACTAGTAACCCTTTTTTTTTTGGGAGGGAATCTCATTGAAAAGTGAGGATCGGATCACTACTTTTGGGGATTCAAATCAACAGTAGGTGCATGTCGTTGGGTCCAAAATTGAATAAAGTTTGGTAAGGGTCATATATGCACTTAGAGGTATCACATACGTGGTAGCTGTCTTGAGACCGCGACTATGGGAGTTGAGCTGTTCTTTAGGAACTCTCATAAAAATCAATATTAAGTGTATGACTATTAATAATATTGATCTGCGAATCCTAACCAAAATTGATATTGTGTGTGACATATTGAATTTTGGTTCAAAAGGTCTAGTTCACGCCTTTGAATTTTGGCTCACTTAATTAACAGGTTCAATTTCGGAAGTCATATTATATCTATTGCAGAGTATAATAGTTGCCCCGTTAATTGGATTTTAAATGAGACCCATAACTCAAGGGCCAGACTGGTATAAATATTAGCCTACGAACGTTTAGCTGAATGGTGTGTGTTCTCCTCCCAATGACTTTGGCAAAATCCAATCTTCTGTCCCCTTTCTCTATGAATAGTAGAGTCTTCCATTTTTTTTCTTTATGTATAATATGTTTTGATGATGCACAAAATAGTTTTATGTAAGATTAACAGTCGAGTGTGTGATAAAGTATAATTAATGGACAATTAGTAAAACAGTCAATGATAGTAACATAAATATTAGGTCAACACACAGATATATAGTGGTTCGGTGTGGGTGACCTACTCTACTCTAGAAAACGTTAATGGTGGCCGGGAGACTTTTATTGATGAAGTAAGGTGAACAGGGGAGAGAACAATGATTAGCTCCAGAAGAAATACAATAGTTAGAAGAGAGAAAAATTACTTGTGTAGAGGTAGAACTCAATGTGTAGTGAGATAACTCTCTCAATAGAGAGATCTTACAATTTATAGGCGTGGTGAGGCGGTGACTTGAGTGTGAGGGTACTAATTCTTCAAAAAGAATAGTTATAAAAGATAAATACAATTAAGATAGCACTGATATTTGAGAGTGGGTATCTCGATGATCTCTTCTCCACGTGCTGTTATTTTCTTAGATTTCTTGGACCTCGGGCTGGGTCGAATTTACGAGCCGGGTTTGACCTACCTTTTAGTTGACTTGGGCTTGCTGGATTTGTTAGGCCTGACTTAGTTAGATTTGGGCTCGTCATATTTTAATTTAGATAACTTCAATTTGAATTAGATTTACCATAACTTTCTAGTGAACGAACGTGACCTGACCCTTAAGGTGACGCTGCCGTGAGCATATTTAAGTTAGATGTTGGAGTTGCATATATTCGTTAGTATCTTTACGTATGAAGACATAGCTGTTTTAGTACAGTGATTACGCGCTTCTTTGATATCATAGATAAACTCTTTCTAATTTAGCATTGTTTATTTTATATTATCCTAATCACACGATATTGTATCATATTTGATTGTATTATTGTTGTTTTGTATTTTTATAATTGATTTATTAATTATTATATATATAAAATTATGTTATTTTTCCCATCACACATCTATCATGAATTAAAAAGGGATCTACAACTTCTCCGTGGGTCCATCATCAACACACAATTGCTGGCATAAAATTAAGAAAAATTAAAGAGAAATTGCAATGAAAGAGATCAATGCAAAATTTCACTTAATTCTTGATATGTTCATTCTCCTATGTTAGTACTGCAGTCATGGTAAAAACTCTTACAAAGGCTGATACCTTAATTTCTATAAGAATTGTTCCGCTTACGACATGTTTTGAGGTTTGTTGAATATATTTTTTGTTTAATTAATATTTTATACTTCAACATGTTGGCTTCTCATAAGCCCTTGAGGATTACCATTTTCTGGTGATACTATGATAACAATATGATCACCACCACCACCGTCACCGTCACCACCATCACCATCACCATCACTAATAGGTTTTACGGTCCCACTATGAAATAACTGTGGTTTCTCAGCTATTACATTTGACTTCACTGTCCTAAAACGAGCTTGGTCTGAAAGCTCATGAATGGATGCTGAAATATTTTCGACGCTTTTAATAATGTTAATTAGTATTGAAGCAACTGTAACGGCTGGTATGACTTCGAGGAGGTCTGTTTTTACTGGTGGAGAAGCCTCTAATGCAATTTTCAATTCCTCAGCAGCTGCTTTGGAGTTTTGAAGATGGAGATCACAAGAAGATGGGTGGGTCATGTTTTTGATGGCTGAGGCTAATTCCTTTAAAGCCTTGCTTGATTCTGAGCTCAGCTTTGTGCATGGTTGTTGAATTTTTCTTCGAAATTCCGATGGTGCCTGCAGGGAAAACAATTTAGTCAGGTGGACGAATTAGGATGCGTTATTGTAAGCATATTATTACTACAATACAATTATTCTTTTAGTCCCACTTTTATTTATTTAAAATTTAAATTTAAGTGAGACCTTGTCATTTTGTTTTTTTTGTTTTAGTTCATATGTTTAGTCGAGCAATGCCATGTTTATTAAATTATTTATTAAATTTGTATCTCAAATTAGTATAGGTGGTTAAATTAATGGGATCTACAAACTTCCACTAAATATTCAATCCACATGATTTTAACACATCATTTAGTATACAACATTTGACGATACAACATTTGAGAATTATAGATTTATCCTTTTCGGTTAATATAGCGTAACCCAAATTTATTGGTTGGCTATCTAGCTAGGCAAAGATCTTGGTTTATGCAAAAACCCAAAAAAGAGTGAACAAAAAAAAGAAGAAACAAACTCCTAAATTTTAGAAGTTTGACTAACATTAAAATTCTCTCATATATATATATATATAAAAAAATAAAAAATAGTAACATTAAAACACAAAAAATTGTACCACTTAAACACAAAAAAATAGTAACATTCAAAAATAAAAAATAGTAACATTAAATATTAATATTTGAAAAAAATAACAGTAATAACATAGTAAAAAAAAAAAAATTACATTGAATATTGATATTTCAGAAAAATACTAACATTCAATATTAATAGCAATATATTCATTAAAAAAATAGTAACATGCTCATCAAAAAAATAGTAACATACAACAAAAAAAATAGTAATATGCACAGAAATGGTAGTAATGTCAAATTTAAATTTGAATTTTAGAATTTATGAAAAAAAAATCTTTCATTAAATGTGAATTAATGACGACTATTTAAGAAACTGACTTAATGTTGAAAATTACTTTTTAAGTCATTAGAAGAACATTTTGGAGTTTAAAAAAAAAAGTGAATTTAATTACTTATTAATAAAATTAAAAATAGTTTTACCCAAAAATAAGTTTTTTTGGCAGACTAAACTCATTATAAATCCTTAAGGAGGATTCGACTCCAACTTTCACTTTTTTTTTTTCTGAATATGAATACAGATTGCTCATATTGGCGAGACGAGTATAAAACGGTTAGAAAAAAAAGATAATAGGGTTATAATACCTGAGGCTGAGGGTTTATGTAGCCATTAAGAGTTTCAATTTGGTAAGCACATTGGCGAGAAAGGACACCAATCTTCAGGTATTGTTTCCATGGATGACAGAAACCGAAACGACCATGACAAGGTTCCCACCATGCAAAATTTGCCTGAAAAAGTATAGTGAAAATGGATCAATTTTCATATCAAGCAAAGTATCATGGTATAGTTAGTGGCTTTCGATGCCATTTTGAATAGAGAGAGAGAGAGAAAGAGAGAGAGTATCTGCTTACCAGGGATTCTTCATTTTCTTTTGAGTTGAGGACATTTTTATAATCTTGAAGAACTGAGTTATCATCCTTAGAGACCATTGCACTATCTCCATCTTCAGAAAATTTAAAGTATTCATCTCCAAATCCTGGTATGCCATTTTCCTTGGTAAGTTTGAAAGCACACGTAAAAAACAACGATAATAGGGAAATGGATGTCCAATTTTGAATAACATTTATGGGGGTGTAAATTTAGTAACAAACACAATGTACCTTCTAGGAAGCTTGCAAGCTTTTCTATGTTGTCAGCAACCAGATTGTGAAGATCTTCACCAGCC